GCCCCCCCCCCCCCACTCTCTAATACGCTCCGCGGGCCCTGCGTCAAGCGGTATCATTTTCACTATATATTTTACCGAAAATAACTTCGGCCCCTTTGGACATATCATTTTCGTAATATTTGAACCAGAATCCTGAACACTATTTATAGAGTGTTATTTTCAAGTTTGTGTCTTCAGATTTTCATCTTTTATTTCGGTAGTTACAGAATAAAATCAATATTTATATTTTTAGCGTGGCATTCAAGCGATCAAAACAAAACAAAACAGACAAAACATTCTACAGGTCAAAGTACTCCCAGTGGTAGTGGGTTGTACCAATCGGGGTTGTACGTGTATTTAGCTTGCGTAGCAGGCGGTATTCGCGGGCACGAGAGAACGGGAAGATTAAAATAATTTGATTATGAGGGTTCCAAGCATACACGTGGCACGCACGTGCGAATAAAGACCTGAAAAATTTAGACTGCGAGCAATCCCTCTATTTTCCTTTGTTTTATTGTTTCCCGGACTAAGACTGAATGCGCGTAGGGATTGCTCGCAGTCTATGAAAAATTCAAAATAAAAATTACTCGCTTTATTCAAACGAAACTTTATACATGAAAACGCTTGAATACAAGGCTGATTTTGCTCTCATTGAGCAAATTGTGAAGAGTTTGGAAGATATTCAAGTTTTTTTTCCGTAAATATATGATTCATTGTTTCGGTTTGTGTGAGTGTTTTGAAGTCATTTGACCCCCCGTTGAAAAGGGTATTTTGTCAGGATTACAATGGTGTTTTTCGTTTTAAAGGGGGGAGGGGGGGATGTTCGCTGAGATATCTATGATTAGAAACAATAAAAATCATAAAAATTTTAAATTGGGGCGTGACGAGAAATTAACCCGTTTACTGGCACTCACGAGTAAAGTTGTCCGGCGTTGATAGACAGTATCACAGGGTAGGTCGCATTGCCAGCCAATGGGGGGCCAAGAGACATTGGCAGATAGGTTTGTTAACCACATTTTAATACTGACAATACTCTAACACTGACAAGTAAAATCGTCGGGCGTTACAGCGTGTAAATTTGTCTGGGGTTACACGAGTAAATACTAAAGTAGGGTGCATTACCAGCTAATGGGTATGCCGTTTATCCAATTTTGACTCAATCAACCAATGGCCTCATTTTCATGTTGGCTATTTACTCGTGTCCCGTGCACACAGTTTAATAATAAGTTTGTGATTGGTCTTTAAATCATAAATATAGGGGATATAACGTTCATGTGCAGGCCTGCTATGCTACCAATGATAAAACCTGGAAATGAGAGCATTGGGTCAAAAGTGATTTAAGTGAACTTAGAGAATTGTCTATAAGTTATTCTTTTTCATTCAGTTCATGTCGCCAAACGGCAGCACTTTCCTTGCGATAGTAACTCCTAGTCACAGAGTATACAGAGGCGGAACTCGCGGCGATTCCTTTGTTCTTTGTGTCCCCGTGCACGTCATTTCCACGCGCCACGCAAATTGCTCTGGCAAGTGTCATTCGTCGTGTTTTCAGTCAAAAGCATAGGAAAAACACCGTTCGAAAGTAGAAAAATAAATATTTTTGCGAAGTTGCTCAACCAATCTTCATTTTGGGACTCAAATTTGAAAGACAAATGGTAAGTGGTTATTTTTATGTAAAAAGATATACGTTTATAGGCTAAATACAAAGAAAAAATAGTATAATACAAATTACAATCTCGGTGCTTGTGATGTTCTTGCCAAGAAGCAGATTCCCATTTCGCTAAATTATAAATGCGGGCCAAACGTATTGCTTTCCTGTCTTTTACATTAATAAGAAAGCATAGGTGCTGATTTGAAACACGTCCATCAGGTTCCATGCATGTAGCTTTGCGATTTGTGAGCAAAAATTAAAAGTCAAACTACCTATGTTTTTAATACTTTCTGTGCAACTAATAACCACATTCACAAATATATTCTCCAGCAAAGAAACGTTTCTTTACGGATTGTTAATCCGCATTTGAAGGCATGCTTATGCCTTCAAAGGTCAGAGGTCTTTCACATGCAGAATAGCAGAGACTACTATCATTGACATCCTTTGTCACAAAATTATGATGGCATATTGGACAGCTATGTTGGATAAGGCACTTCCTTAATAAATAGCCTGACACATAAGTTCATGCAGACTAAGTTTTGTTCAATTTCATTTGTTTTGTAGTCGGTAGCTTCAACTGCTTGGATTAGTGGTGGGCTTGTCTGATCATTTCCTGCAGATAAATCAGATTGGCTAGGGTCAAATGCAATCAAATAGGCATCAGAATCTTCAGCACAGGTGCCAATTGAAAGTGATGTCAAAATATTATCTACAAATAATATGCAAAATAATTGTTTTTGTTTGTGGAAACACCACGTAAATTTATTACTGCAAATTATTATAATTATAATAATTGTTAATAATAATTATTAATTATTAATAATAATTATTAAATAATAATTATTTATTACTGCAAATTATTCAAAGAACTTAATATGCAAAATGCTCTGGTGAACTGGATGGAACTAATTGGTTGTCACAATCCCCCCCCTGCTGCCTAATGAGGCCAAAGAAGTTCTCCAGAGGATCTTGGTTGAGACATCTTGTCATGAGAAACTCCAAGGAATGATGTTGGTTTATAAGGTCTTGAAATGTAAATACTACAGTGTAATTACTACTGACAGTGTAAATACTACAACAGTGAAATGTAAATACAACAGTGTAATTGAGGTTTAAAAATACAAAGTTTATTTTAATAAATGTTGTTTATTTTATTTCACATTTATATACATTTAAGAACTTAAATTATTCAAAAACTAAATAAATTAAATATGTGTTCAATGTCAATGAATATTGCTATATTCTAAATTTTTTATTCCAAAATAGGCAATAACTGTTTCCTTTATAGTTGACCCCACATGTTGTCATGAAAATTAATACTAAATAAAAAAAGTAGCCAATGATCCATGTTTCCTCTTACAGTCTTTGCTTTATATGAAAAATTAAATACTATGAATAATTGCATTGTTCCTTTTATTCAGGGATGGATCCAGCATGGTCTGGTAGGGGGGGTGCTCCGCCAAAAATTTTTTTCGGAAAGCAACAACCTCCCCCCCCCCCCATCGACAACTTTTTAGGGAAAATTTTTTTCCGGACGAGTACGTTGCAATTGCTTTCCAGTGACTTTACACATCCATCAACTTGCTTAACCACTGCAAAGTCTAGCTACAGTATTTGAATTGTAATTGTTGTTCACAGTTCGCTTATCATCATGTTATTACTCAAATTACTGAATTTCATTTTGTCTCTGATAATTTTTTGCTTTATCGTGAAAAATAGCACTCCCCCTGCACCCCTCCTGGCCAGGGCTAGGGGAGGTGTGCACCCCCCCGCACCCCCCCAGTAAATCCATCCCTGCTTTCATTGATAAAGAGTTTCCCATTAAAAGAGAAAGTATTCCCAATTAATACTTTGCCTGTTAAAGTGTGCCCACCCCTTGACGAGTAAAATCGTCTGGCGTTAGACAGAGTAAAATAATAAAGTAGGGTGCATCAGGGCACATGCAATGCAACTCAATGGGTTAACTGGATCGCCCGGTGTTAGACAGAATAATAAAGTTGGGTTAACAAGTAAAATTGTCTAGCTTTACAGTACATCTTCCAAGGGGGGCTGGATTTGGGGAGCAGGCCTACCACTTTGGGGGAGGGGGCTGCTTTTTTGAACCTCAATTAAACTATTACAGTAATCCGACGGCCTGTCTATATGGTCTCCGGGTACTAGGGAAATCTTACCCCCCCCCCCCGAGCCACCCTGGCAAGGCAAAACTATATTCATATCCTATTATAGCAACTGCCATGCAAGTGTTTGCATGGAAAGTTTTGAACTTGTCTTGCCTAGTGGGATGATCCAGGTAGTAAGGTCACTCCGTCAGGGGGTACAGCATCTCTATTACTCAAGATTAATTATATAAACATTGCCTGAGGCTATGTAAAATTGGTAGGCATTCCAATATAAGATCAAATAGTCTCAGGTTTTCCCCAATCAGAAGAACAAATTAACATAGTTGTAAGAATCTGCATCTGATTCATTGTAATGAACAATGTAGTTCAACAGGAATGGTTGGCAATCTAGAAAAGCAAAATAAAAAATAAACAGATTAGATTATTAAACATGTACAGACTTGGCATGTTTGAGAAATTATTGACCTTTGAGAGCCAAAAAAAGGTTGTCATTGCACAATAACCAATGCACTAGTCTAGGGGAATCACTATAAAGTATAATTTGACCAATCCCTCACCATTGGGTCAACATATAAGTTAAATAAAGTCTATATGAGAACTTTAGAGTACTGTGGCTCCATGTCCAAGTCCATCAGTCCATGTTGAATGTTGATGTTCATATTTTTCGTATCTGAATGCTGTTTATGCAATGTTTAAATTGACGACAACCTTTTCATACAACATAGCACTTCACAAAAAATATATTGATAATTTCATATATATGAGCTAGAGAAAAAAAACTCACATATAAAGTTGCCAAGTTCCAGCTGGAGTTCAGGTCTACAGAATCGAATCTTCAGATTGCCAGAAATTCTCACTCATTCGGGTGTCTTTTCTCATTTTCGCCGTTAAAAAGGGTATTCGTTCAATTCCCTTTCGCTAAGAAGACGCAGTGTGCCATTTATTTGCAAAATTGGTGCAGAAAATGAAGATTGATCGGTTACTGCGCTTAAAATCGCCGTTTTACTGCCAAAATTTTGCATTTCCCTATCTTTTTCCTGATAAAAAATGTGCATGACACTTGCCAGAGGGTCGCGCATGCGCATTAAAAAAGTGGGGACATGATTTGCCTCGAGTTCCGCCTCTGTATATCCTTACTCTGTGTCCTAGTCTGGATCAAAATTTTGGTCATTAGGGGAGGGCCAAACTTCCTTTTTCCAAAACCTTTTTCCTTTGAAATTTCTTGAGATGTGGAAACACATGTGCACACTGAAACTGAAAGCTTCTGAAAGCGTACGTAAACCATATCATCAGTGGTCCTTATTTTGTCCATATTTGTTCATTCAACTGTAAAATTTCAGTTTTTACAGTAGATACATACAAATCCTGTCGATAAAATTCCAGATCTGAGGGTCTTTAGCACCAGTAGAAAACTGTGGAATGCTATTTGATGTCTCCATAAAAGTATAAGGTAGGACTATGTGGAAATGTAGCCGATATAAACTTTTTAAAATTTATTATTATTAAAAATTTATTATATTTGGCTGATGGAAGAGTCGAGAAGAGTAGCGTCTGCGAAGTGTTTCAACTTTCAATCGTCCAGTACTCGTATTAATAGGGACAAAAGGGTATGCCCAATACCGATACATATTTCCTATAAAATTATAAATGCTGTAAAATATTTTATAATATAGCATTTGTAAATTCTGAACGCTGATTGGCTAAGAGCCGTGTTGATATAATGCATGAGTCAATTCCTGGAGTAACCATCCCCCCCCCGGGACACCCCCGGGAATTTGCCCGATAGACAGTTCACGGGGGTCGGGAATTTGCCTTTCATATATGTGCACGGGGGCCGGGTATTGGAGGACCCCGGGGATTTGACAAATGGTGCCCAAAATCCCACCCACAAATTTTAAGGCAGCAAAACGTTTCAGGCACGCATGTGGACGCGCTGATCGTATTTTTCGCCCTCGTGGTCAAGGTGGCGTGAAATTTATTGTAAGAATAAGCGAACTATTAATTAAAGGTTTATGTTTTATAATATTCCATAGCAGTTTAATACTATAATGTTATTAAATGACTATGATTATATGCCATTAAAAGTTTAATTAACGTTTATAGTCGATTTCACAAAACTTTGACCACAAATTCTCCGAACTTCGTTGCGAAGTTCACAAGATTGTTGCGAAGTTCAAAAGTTCATAATGAGCCGATTCACAAACCAGTTCGTAAGCTACACATTTGATTGGCTTCTTTTACTTCATGGACCAATCAGGGACTTTGTTTACAAATTGGCTTGTGAATTCCAATATGAGCTTCCGAACTTCGCAATGAACTTGCGAACTTCGCAACGAAGTTCCGAACATTTGGGTCAAAGTTTCGTGAAATCGACTGTAAAATCGTCCCCGGGGTGGGGCATTTTCCACTCTCAGCTTGCCCAGGGGCAGTGCATTAGTCTTCAAGTTGTGTCCCGGCACCCGGGCATTTACACTGTCATAACCAATCTAATCAAATTCCCGGGTGTGTTCCCGGGGGGGGGGATGGTTACTCCTGGAATTGACTCATGCATAA